AAGCAGCAATATGACAATAATTCCAACAATTATAACCCTGGTTGGAGGAATCATCCGAGCTTTTCATAGAATAATAATCAAGCTCAANACATCCGAGTGATCAGTATGCAATTAATCTAGAATCAATACAATACGTTGGTAACTTCAACAAGTAGCAATATGACAATAATTCCAACAATTATAACCCTGGTTGGAGGAATCATCCGAGCTTTTCATGGAATAATAATCAAGCTCAACCTTCTGCTCCAAGACAATCATACCCACTAGGCTTTCAGAATCAAGCACCACCACAAGAAAAGAAGTCGAATTTGGAGGAGCTGCTATCCAGGTACATAGCATAGAGTGAGACAAGGATGAACAGTATGGAAGTATCAATCTGAAACCTGGAAAACCAAATAGGATAGCTCGCTAATGTCATTAACAACCGATCTCAAGGCACTCTACCTAGTGATACAGAGATCAATCTTAAGAGGGAATGTAAGGAGCACTGCAATGCTATTACATTACGAAGCAGAAAAGAGTTACCTGAGGTTGTTGGTGGAACTCCNATAGCTCGCTAATGTCATTAACAACCGATCTCAAGGCACTCTACTTAGTGATACAGAGATCAATCCTAAGAGGGAATGTAAGGAGCGCTACAATGCTATTACATTACGAAGCAGAAAAGAGTTACCTGAGGTTGTTGGTGGAACTCCAAAACAATCACATGGAGGTGATAGTGAGGGTAAAGTAAACGGTAGAAAGAATGTGGAACATGGAAAGAAAGGAGAAGATCCAGTTGTATGTTCTAATGGAGATAATCAGAGACTTATTATGCCTCCTGTGCCATTTCCACAACGTTTGCAAAAACAGAAATGGGATAAACANGTAGAAAGAATGTGGAACATGGAAAGAAAGGAGAAGATCCAGTTGTATGTTCTAATGGAGATAATCAGAGACCTATTATGCCTCCTGTGCCATTTCCACAACGTTTGCAAAAACAGAAATGGGATAAACAGTTCTCTAAATTCATGGAAGTGTTTAAGAAGCCAAATTAATATCCCTTTCGCAGAAGCAGTGGAGAGAATGCCTAACTATGTGAAATTTTTGAATGAAATTTTGTCAAGGAAGAGAAAAATAGGTGATTTTGAGATTGTGGCACTTACGGAGGAGTGTAGCGCTATTCTTCAAAAGAAGCTACCACCAAATCTCAAAGATCTAGTTAGCTTTATAATTCCATACACAATAGGCAACCAATTTTTCAGGAAAGCATTGTGTGACTTGGGAGCTAGTATTAACTTGATGTCACTCTCAATTTATCAACAATTGGGTTTGAAGGAAGCAAAGTTAACTAATGTTACATTGCTGAGGACGTAGTTGAGGATGTTCTAGTTAAAGTGAATAAGTTCATTTTTCTAGCTGATTTCATAGTCTTGGATTGTGAGGAAGATAGGAAAATACCTTTTATTCTTGGGCGACCATTCTTAGCAACAGGGAGAACANTGTTCTAGTTAAAGTGAATAAGTTCATTTTTCTAGCTGATTTCATAGTCTTAGATTGTGAGGAAGATAGGAAAATACCTTTTATTCTTGGGCGACCATTCTTAGCAACAGGGAGAACACTTATCGATTTGCAGAAAGGTGAGCTAACTATGCGAGTCCAAGATCAAGAGGTTATAAACAATGTATTTTCAGTTATGAAATGTCCAAAGGAACAAGAAGAATATTTTCGGGTTGATTTGGTGGAAGATGTAGTGAATGGGGTATTCGTAGGAAGCTGTATTTCAAATTCCTGTGAGAACGCCAATCTATATAAAGAAGAGGTGTTCCCACATGGAGCTGCTGCAGTTGAGGAAGCTAATTCAAAAAAAAAACTTTCAAGGTGAACGGACGGAGACTGAAGCAATATTGGGGCGGTGACATTGATCGTGAAAATACCTCAATTACCCTTGTTGACCCGGGATGAAACAGGAAGTAGTCAGGTTGAAGATTATAAAACAAGCGCTAATTGGGAGGCAACCTAAATTTTAGTTTATAAGTTTTATTTTATTTTATTTTAATTTAGTTTTTTATAAAAAATAATGTACTTAGTTAGTTAGTGCATTTTAATTGGTATGTCAATTACTTGCAGGTCCCAAGAATTGAATATAAAGTTGGGGCACACCACCTTTTGTACAGTTTTCTAGTCCACCTAGGTTTCTCGAATACACTCGACTCAGCGGACGACGATGCCAACTAGCGAAGTCTGAGGGAAGTCCTGTACCTTAATTTTTCCTACTTTACACATTGAGGACAATGTTGAGTTTAAGTTTGAGGGTGTTTTCTTGTTTGCATTTGCATTATTACGTATGCATTTTAGATAGCATGTTTTTCACTTTATATAACATGTTTTTGTATGACTTGAGCAATGAGTTAATTGAATTTGATTATGGCCAATGATGAATGAGATTAATTGTCAATTCAAGGAAAATTGATTAACATGTTGAGTCTGTAGTTTGACATACTTGTTGGTTTTACACTGTTTGTGATCTTTTCATTCATGAGCACATATCCATTTGTTTGGTTAGTTATTATTTAGAGAATTTATTTGGTTAAATGCTTGTGGGAGATATCATTGAAATTTTAAGAAACTTATTTATGCATCATTCAAACCAAATTGAGGTATTCATATAATTTTGCGGGAAATAATTGTTATGACGGGCTAGTATAAGAAAATAGTAAAAAAGAAAAAAAGAGAAGAAAGTTTTTGAAAATTATTTTAATTTGATCCTTCATAAGTTAGATGAAAAAAATAGGAATAAAAAAAAACAAGAAAAGGGGCATGTGGGGCGTAGAGATTGAGTGTAAAATGCACTCACTCATAAATACATGCAGAGAACGAGATGGAGCGTAAAGCGCACTCGCTCAATAGGTGATGAGATGGAGTATAAAATGCACTCACCAAACAAATGGAAAATAGATAGAAAAAAAAAATCTTTAGACCTTCTAGTTATATGGTTGCTTTAATAAGTGGAGGTTGATGTGAAACGTAAGTTCATAGAATTGATATTGAGTATCTCCTATGAAACATTTGATTACGTAAATGTATTTGGGTGATGACTAGCTTGATAGTTCGGATATGTAGATGTATTTAAAGGGTCACGAGTGGAGGTAAAATTAAGAAGTATGTTAAATTGATAATCTTTGCCCTGTATTGAAGTTTTTCGTGAATTATTATTTGTAGAACTTTTGGGGCCATTATTCAAATTTATATTGATCCACTGTTTGAGTAGTTGGTTGATTAATTTTTATAGTTTTTGTTCTTAGTATTTTACTTGAGGACAAACAAAGATTTAAGTTTTGGGGTATTTGATGAGTGAGTTTTATACCTACGAATTGAGTATTTTTGTTTGATGAAATTGTAATTTTTCAATTATTTTATGTTCATTTTTATTTATTTTGTGTGTTTTGATGTTATTTTGTAGGGATGATCATTTGGAAGGAATCATAGTTATTTGGGAGGAAACAAGGTCAATTTGGAGCTAAGTGTTGGATTTTTTTGAAGAGGAAGGTCAAAGGGCATTTTAGGCCTAAAAGGAGGGGCGAGCCCTTGCGCCCACATACTGTTCAACCGGTGCCCTTGCACTGATTTTTGGCACAGCTGCACTTGTGTTGGTCTGTGACGCAAATTTTGACTTGTTTTTGACCAAACATTGGACTTTAAAGCTACATATATGCTAGGATTTGTGTGAGGATGAGATATTTTGATTTTTGGAGGCTGAAACATCTGAAAAGACCAAGGAATTAGAAGAAAATTGAAGAAAAGAATCGAAGGAATCGACACAAAGAAGATTGGATTTGAAAGCTAAAGAAGGGTTGAAGATTGCAACTAAGTTTTCATTCTTTTCTCTTACTTTTAATTCTGGATTTTCTAAGATTTTGTTCAATTTTAGAATGATGTTCTTCAATTACATTATGAACTAAATTCTTATTAAGATTGCAACGGAACCTAATGTCTAGTTAAATTTATCTACACTCGTTTCTGGTTTTATTGATTATACAGAAGTTGTTTGTCATATTTTGTACTTAATATATGATTGTGTGGCCACCAATCAATTTGAGAACCTAGATGAAATTGGAAGATGAACTCTAGGTTTAGATCCGAATATGATGACATATGTCTCGTTAATTCTTCTTAGGATCGAATTGCTGGGTTTGTGTATAGGATAAAAATATACTTATATGCCATTTGTAAGTTTCATGAGACTTTGAACTTAATGAATCTATTCCAAATTATTTTTCATAAGAATATAGTAATTTAATTGGGAGAGATAATTTTATCTAATTATCGGAAGAGGTTTGATAAATACTTTGAGTTATCAGTTCACAACTTATTTTATCAATTAACAAAGCAAAGAGTTAAAAAGGTTTATATGAAGCATTAGGGAAAGTTGTAAACTTAACTTCTTTTATTTGGTAAATTCAACCCTTGATTATTAAATTTAGGTTTAATTTTTAGTTAGTGAATTCATAGTTTAATTCCAATTGTTTAAATAAAATCGAATTGATATAAAGTTAGTACTTGGAAGTTATTAGCAATATTTCTCCGTGGGAATGATACTCTACTTATCATTTTATTACTTGTTGATCATGTATACTTGCACGTAAATTGTTAATATCAAATTCAGACAATAGCTGGGACAGTCTAAGGACCCTAGAAAAATGAAAACAACTATTTAAACATTTTGGCCCGTCCTTGCTGAAGTAAGGATCCAAGACTTCACCTAGATATTGTTTTATTGTTGCCTCACGTGTCTTACCCTGTCACCCCTCACGTGAGTGTATTAAAATAAATGTCCCTTACACATGTCAACAATGTAGTGCCCCTTCAGAAGGCATACTATGAACTCTCGCCCAACGAGGAAGAATGCAAAAGAGCAAATGAGAGGCTGAGGAAAAAATAGCACTACAAGAGCACCACCTAGAATAGGCTAGGCAAAAAACCATCAAGGAAGGGTGAGATAAAGGATTGGCTAGGCAAATTTATGACCAACTTAACACCTGAACAAGATGCAAGAGTTTAGGGGTACCACGACCATCCCAAGATGGGCAAACACATGGAGCGCCTAGAAGGAAGGTGGATTGTGGCTTGACACTAGCACCTACCACCTCCAATGACCAGGACCAGAAAAAGGCATTGGCAATGCATCTAGGTTGAGATAAGAAAGTGGGGAGCCGAACAACAGAAGCAAACAACAACGATAGGCAGCCAAAGTCAGTACTTGTGAAGCCAAAAGAGGAGGCCTCTTCAGTAAGGCATCCTTCTGGAGTCTTAAGAAGAGCAATAGTTGCAGAAAAAAGCTTAGCTAAATCTTCTTTTAAAGGGATGTAAGGAAACCAAAAAAAAAAAAGAGCCAAGGAGTGATGACGACAATGATGAAAGCCCCATCCAATTTGGGATTCTAGGATATTCAGTCTCCATCAATGAATTGTGTATGTTACCTAATATTTTCAACTCTAGGGTGCATCTGCCTGATTCTCTAGAAAGAGATGTTGAGGAAGTAAATGTTGTAGGCTCTAGCTTCACAAATGAATTTTGAAATCAAATCGATTAAAAGGATGAGAGATTATGCAACATGACATGGGTTCCTGCAACGAATGTTGTGTTTGAGAAACCAGCCCAATCGATGACTCAGCACCTGAGACCTCCATACATAAAAGCTTAATTGGAGGGTAGGCAATTAAGTTGCATCCGAGTTGAGAATGGTGCAAAAATAAAAATTCTACCTATAGCCATGATGAAGATGCTAGGGAAAGAAAAAGAAGACATCATTCCACAAATTTGATGGTTAAGTAACTTCACAGGCGAGGTCAATAAAACCAAGGGAGTTCTACTAGTAGAGCTGGCAGTAGGAAGTAGGATAAGAATCATGACGTTCTTGGTGGTAGACACCTCAGCCTCATACAATGCACTTATGGACTGAGACTGGATCCAATTGAATGATTCTATACGTTATACCCTCTATCAAATGGTGGTACTTTGAAACCAAAGACGAGTTGGAGGTGGTTAAGGTGAAAAATACCTTATTCGTAACTGATGTACATGCAGATGATGCATGGCTATATAATGAGGGTGTGGCACCAATGAAGCTATAGGCTCAAGAAAAGTTTGGAAGGACCAAGGAGGTTGTGTTCCAAACAAGCCTATTGAGACCAGAGGTCCAAATATTTGAAGAAGACGTCTACTAGCCCACATATAAGGTCGGTCAACAAGGAGACACCCAAGGAAGTTGTTAATGATTGAGTTCCAATCTAATGATCGCAAGGGGCAGGCAGTAAGGACCTACGTCGCTAGGATATAAACCTATCATGGTAAAAAAAAAAGGGTGCCAAATCTTAGCATAACTAGCACTAACCAAGTTGCCATACATTATGGTGCGGAAGAAGGAAGAAAGGTGGTGACGCCATAAAATTTTATTGAACTAAAGGATCTAGGTGCTCTCTCACCAAGTTGGATGACTTAATTGAGGTCCAAGACCCACTGCTAGAAGTGAATTTTTAAGAGTAAGGGAAAATAGATTCACTTTTGTGAGGAAACTATTAGAGCTAGATTTTTAGTTGTGGCTTATATAGCTACTCATTATTCTGAGATTGGTCTGCATGGAACTATGAATAAATTTCAGGGCTAGACCTAGCCTTGGTTGAACAGCAGCTGCCCATCAAAGAAGGTTATAGGCCAATTAAATTGGCTACTAGATTGATGTTAAGCAAAGTCACAATATTGATTAAGAAAGAGAATGAACAACTATTCCAAGCCAAGATAACCCACTAAGTCGAATAGATTTCCAATATTGTGCCTGTCAAGAAGGAAAATGGAAACATTAGGGTGTGTTCTAGTTACCGAAACCTTAGTGCAACAACTCCTAAAGATGAGTATGTCATGCTAATGTTTGATTAGTTAGTGGACACTGCAGCCATGAACAATATTATGTTTTTCTTAGATAGGAATGCAGGTTATTATCAAATATTTATTGCTTTTGGAATGCAGGTTATTATCAAATATTTATTGCTAAGGAAGACCTGTATAAGATAACTTTTAGATGTCCGTGATTGGTAGGAACATTTAAATGGAGGATTATGTTGTTTGGACTAAAAAAGTTGGATCAACATACCAAAGGGTCATNTGTGGAGCGCCTAGAAGGAAGGTGGATTGTGGCTTGACACTAGCACTGACCACCTCCAATGACCAGGACCAGAAAAAGGCATTGGCAATGCATCTAGGTTGAGATAAGAAAGTGGGGAGCCGAACAACAGAAGCAAACAACAACGATAGGCAGCCAAAGTCAGTACTTGTGAAGCCAAAAGAGGAGGCCTCTTCAGTAAGGCATCCTTCTGGAGTCTTAAGAAGAGCAATAGTTGCAGAAAAAAGCTTAGCTAAATCTTCTTTTAAAGGGATGTAAGGAAACCAAAAAAAAAAAAGAGCCAAGGAGTGATGACGACAATGATGAAAGCCCCATCCAATTTGGGATTCTAGGATATTCAGTCTCCATCAATGAATTGTGTATGTTACCTAATATTTTCAACTCTAGGGTGCATCTGCCTGATTCTCTAGAAAGAGATGTTGAGGAAGTAAATGTTGTAGGCTCTAGCTTCACAAATGAATTTTGAAATCAAATCGATTAAAAGGATGAGAGATTATGCAACATGACATGGGTTCCTGCAACGAATGTTGTGTTTGAGAAACCAGCCCAATCGATGACTCAGCACCTGAGACCTCCATACATAAAAGCTTAATTGGAGGGTAGGCAATTAAGTTGCATCCGAGTTGAGAATGGTGCAAAAATAAAAATTCTACCTATAGCCATGATGAAGATGCTAGGGAAAGAAAAAGAAGACATCATTCCACAAATTTGATGGTTAAGTAACTTCACAGGCGAGGTCAATAAAACCAAGGGAGTTCTACTAGTAGAGCTGGCAGTAGGAAGTAGGATAAGAATCATGACGTTCTTGGTGGTAGACACCTCAGCCTCATACAATGCACTTATGGACTGAGACTGGATCCAATTGAATGATTCTATACGTTATACCCTCTATCAAATGGTGGTACTTTGAAACCAAAGACGAGTTGGAGGTGGTTAAGGTGAAAAATACCTTATTCGTAACTGATGTACATGCAGATGATGCATGGCTATATAATGAGGGTGTGGCACCAATGAAGCTATAGGCTCAAGAAAAGTTTGGAAGGACCAAGGAGGTTGTGTTCCAAACAAGCCTATTGAGACCAGAGGTCCAAATATTTGAAGAAGACGTCTACTAGCCCACATATAAGGTCGGTCAACAAGGAGACACCCAAGGAAGTTGTTAATGATTGAGTTCCAATCTAATGATCGCAAGGGGCAGGCAGTAAGGACCTACGTCGCTAGGATATAAACCTATCATGGTAAAAAAAAAAGGGTGCCAAATCTTAGCATAACTAGCACTAACCAAGTTGCCATACATTATGGTGCGGAAGAAGGAAGAAAGGTGGTGACGCCATAAAATTTTATTGAACTAAAGGATCTAGGTGCTCTCTCACCAAGTTGGATGACTTAATTGAGGTCCAAGACCCACTGCTAGAAGTGAATTTTTAAGAGTAAGGGAAAATAGATTCACTTTTGTGAGGAAACTATTAGAGCTAGATTTTTAGTTGTGGCTTATATAGCTACTCATTATTCTGAGATTGGTCTGCATGGAACTATGAATAAATTTCAGGGCTAGACCTAGCCTTGGTTGAACAGCAGCTGCCCATCAAAGAAGGTTATAGGCCAATTAAATTGGCTACTAGATTGATGTTAAGCAAAGTCACAATATTGATTAAGAAAGAGAATGAACAACTATTCCAAGCCAAGATAACCCACTAAGTCGAATAGATTTCCAATATTGTGCCTGTCAAGAAGGAAAATGGAAACATTAGGGTGTGTTCTAGTTACCGAAACCTTAGTGCAACAACTCCTAAAGATGAGTATGTCATGCTAATGTTTGATTAGTTAGTGGACACTGCAGCCATGAACAATATTATGTTTTTCTTAGATAGGAATGCAGGTTATTATCAAATATTTATTGCTTTTGGAATGCAGGTTATTATCAAATATTTATTGCTAAGGAAGACCTGTATAAGATAACTTTTAGATGTCCGTGATTGGTAGGAACATTTAAATGGAGGATTATGTTGTTTGGACTAAAAAAGTTGGATCAACATACCAAAGGGTCATATATGTGATATTCCATTAGATGATCAGTAAAATCATCGAAGTTAATATTAATGATATCATAGTTAAGACTCAAAGGACGGAGGACCACTGAACAAACCTAAGCATCGTCTTCAAAAGAATGAACGATCACCAACTAATGATAAATCCTCTTAGGTGCACTTTCGGGGTCATTGTTGGAAACTTCTTGGGATTCTTGGTGCATAAGAAGGGCATTAAGAAGGATAAGAACAAAGCAAATGCAATTATAGAGGTTGCATCACCAAAGATTAAGAAGGAGCTGCAGCGACTAGTTGGCCAAATTAACGTTTTCATACGATACATAGCCAATTGTGCAGGCAAGGTTCAGGCCTTCTCTCTATTGCTCAAGCTTAAAGAGAGCAAAAAAATTTAGATAAGAAGTGCAACACGAGGAGACAATTTTAGTAAATCGAAGGCAACAAAATAGCTCACCAATACTCATACCATTGGTAAATGGTTGACCTTTACTATTGTTTGCTCATATTAATGACTCTAGCAAAGAGAAAATCATGTATTATTTGAGTCAAGTATTGACGTCGGTTGAGCAACGTTATAGGCCGATTGAGAAATTATGATTAGCATTGTATTTCGCATCATTGAAATTAAGGATATATTTGATTCGATAGTGGTGAATATTATTGTGCAAACGGATGTAATGAATTATATGCTAACTAGGCTAATAATGAGAGGTTGTGTCAAAAAATGGACACTGGCATTAATGAAATTTTTGTTCCATTACTTACCATAGCAAGCAGTCAAAAGGCCATACATTAGAAGATTTTTTTGGCGGATCATCCCTACCTTGAAAACAAACAGGAAATGCATGATTTGTTTAGCCTATTTAGGGTACCCATAGTATCGCTTACACCATGAAAGCTGAAATTTGATGGGTCACAGACAATGGAGTCCATAGGGGCTGGGGTAATAAAATCTCACCGCGTGGACAAGAAACCCATTTCTCATTCAAACTTGACTTTGAATGTACCAATAACCAAGCTGAATATAAAGCACTAACCATCTATCTAGAAGTCCTACTTGGGGGCGTTCATGGGATTCCTATTGGTTATCAATGAACTTATACCAAGCTTCCAGTGTAGAAGATAGGGCTTGTGCCCATTTCACTAGATCACAACATCTTTTCTTTCAAATTTTGATGATGTAATCTTGAGGCTAGGACCAAGAGGCTTAAATTCACAAGTCCATGATCTGGCTCAGCTAGGATCTGACAGAAAGATCCCTAGTGAGATGAACGAGTAGTTGATAAAGATCCAAAAACTATTTTTTCCATCGGGTAGGGACAAAGGATGTTTTTTGAAGAATTGATCGTCGTGATCAAGGAGGAGAACTTAAGGTTTAACATCGTACAATTCCTCAAATTCCCAAGTGGTGATTTCNTTACACCAACAAGACCCGATAGCCATCAAGAATGGACATGCATTCACACCTTTGGTATAGCTGCTCAACTAATTAAAGGAGTCGAGAAAGATCATTAGAAAGTCGAGTTAGAGCTTGGAGATCTTTTGTATTCCAGTTGTAGAGAATCAGAAAGAATCTGAGGTGCTTGGAGCCAGGCCACTAAAGACTGTGGTTCATCCAACAACAAATCAAGATGGCTACTAACAATTTCTTTCACCATGGCTCAATTATGATCGAAATTTGAATCCAAGACACAATTTGAGTCATTAAAGTAAGTAGGGACAGATGACAAGCGGCCTCACACCTTGGAGAGGAGTGATGGGAGACTAGTTCCAGAGGAAGATACAATCTCCAAGGGTTGTACAATGGCCTACAAGGAAATAAAAAAAATGGTTATTATCCATTGAAATGGTAATAAGAAAAAGGTGTACGTCATCGAATTGCAGAGGTAGGACTTGGTGTTTAGGCAAAAAAAAGATGGGCAACTTCAGCTAAATAAACAACTTGGACTGTTGTAGTTTCTATTATAAGCTCAATGGCCACATTTGAGCCTGTTAGGATTGAATCACTGGGCAATGCAAGAGGCTCCAGACCATTAAAAATACNGTGATGGAAAAAGGAACCAGAGGAAAAATATTTCTCCTTCAAAAGGAACAATGGAGTCACCTTCCTCATCATTAAGGAGATTCCCAGTTGGATGACTTGAGTAAAGGAGTCCTCTATTCACTTAAAGCAAAATGCAGTGGCTTCTCCAGATTAGGCATGGTAGATTGGCTCTATAGTGCCTCTAGCTTATCCCAAGGGACCTTCATCATAGCCTAGGGGAAACACGTGAAAAGAAGTACATATCTTTCAGAGGAATATGAGGCAAGTTGGTAAAACCAACTAAGAATCATAAGGAAGAAAGTAGGAGAAATGAGGAAGTTTAAGNTTTTCGGAGGAATATAAGGCAGGTTGGTAAAACCAACTAAGAATCATAAGGAAGAAAGTAGGAGAAATGAGGAAGTTTAAGGCCAACAGGTAGAAAGCTTGAGAAACAAAGTGTTCATCTTCTACAACCTCATCCTTTGGTTCAGGAGGGATAAATATTTTGGCCAAGTCTAAAAGACATTGAAGGCATATCGACGGAAGGGGAAACCAGTTATGAGATGGTGTATATAGGCCAAGGAATGCTATGCAATATTAATGGCTTTGTATCGGTAACCAACAAGCAATTAAGGTGATGTTGAAGGCAAGCATCATCATTCAATTCTAATCTTAAATTTCAGCATCATTTATGCATGAAATACAAACAACAACTCAGTGTATGTATGGCATTAATTAGAAGTTAGATAAATGTCACATCAAAGGTAACATGCAAATACAGTTAAGAAAAAGGAACAAATGACAAAGCAGACCAAATTTTACTAGGTGTCAAGGTTCCGTACAAGATTATTAAATTTGGCCTCTATAGAAAAAAAGGAGTTGCTCATGGCCTTGAGCTTAGTCGTGATAGTGTCAGCTTTGGCATTTACGTCATCCACGTAGGCTATAACACTAATAATGTTAGCCTTAAGCTGTTTGAATTTGACCTTAAGGTTCAATGCTTCAGCGAGACTCGAGCTCTACAAGTTCGCATTCCAGCAAGGAAAGTTTCTTGAAGCATTTGGTTTGATTGGTAGAAAGACCAATGAACCTCTAAAAAATTTTCTTTAGTTACACCAACAAGACCCGATAGCCATCAAGAATGGACATGCATTCACACCTTTGGTATAGCTGCTCAACTAATTAAAGGAGTCGAGAAAGATCATTAGAAAGTCGAGTTAGAGCTTGGAGATCTTTTGTATTCCAGTTGTAGAGAATCAGAAAGAATCTGAGGTGCTTGGAGCCAGGCCACTAAAGACTGTGGTTCATCCAACAACAAATCAAGATGGCTACTAACAATTTCTTTCACCATGGCTCAATTATGATCGAAATTTGAATCCAAGACACAATTTGAGTCATTAAAGTAAGTAGGGACAGATGACAAGCGACCTCACACCTTGGAGAGGAGTGATGGGAGACTAGTTCCAGAGGAAGATACAATCTCCAAGGGTTGTACAATGGCCTACAAGGAAATAAAAAAAATGGTTATTATCCATTGAAATGGTAATAAGAAAAAGGTGTACGTCATCGAATTGCAGAGGTAGGACTTGGTGTTTAGGCAAAAAAAAGATGGGCAACTTCAGCTAAATAAACAACTTGGACTGTTGTAGTTTCTATTATAAGCTCAATGGCCACATTTGAGCCTGTTAGGATTGAATCACTGGGCAATGCAAGAGGCTCCAGACCATTAAAAATACTTTTTATGTAAGGGATCTTTCGAGGCCAGGGGAAAAGTGACAAATGAAGCTTCCCTGAGGGGTCGGGTGCTATGAATGCAGGGCTTGACTTCAATTTCCTGCCCATCAGCTAATTTCCCTTAAACCACTTGGTCAACATAGGTTTTTGTCTGTCATAGTTGTTTCTACCCAAGCATATACCTAGGAGGAGGATGAAAATTGGTGAATGAGATAAGATCTACTGCGACCACAAGACTAATCCTAAGTTGATGATGGGGAGAAAATTAAGAGGGTGAATTCTATTTAGAACTAGTCCTAGAAGAGGACAACCGAGGGAATGTGCAAAGAGCGACTACTTGTAGCGAATCTTATAGAGACTTCTTATATCAAATGATTATCAAAAAATAATAGGTTGATGAATGAATTCACTATTCATAATAGTGGCAAAGAGAACAAAGATGTGCTGAACTAAGCCAAATTTGCGAGCAAATTGTTGAANATCACATTTCAAAACAAGTTATCTCTTGATAATTAAAATGAGTTCATGTGCATAGGGCTCAGGGAGTTGGATGAAGTTATATTGGGAGCATTGGGTTGCATTAAGGTTCAGAAGCTTAAAGCAACCTGAGCATAAAACAAAAGGTTAAAGAATAAGGCTTTTGGAATAGGAGACTTGGTGTGGAAAGCTAACTTGCCCCTAGTAACAAATGATCCCAAGTTTGGAAAATGGTCTTCTAATTGGGAAGTTCCATTCAAAATTTATGAAGTGAGAAAGGGGAAGTCTACCACTTAAAGGACTTAAGTGGGGTGTTACACAAACATTCTATTAATGGATGATTTTTAAAGGCTTACCAGTCAACTATCTAGGAAGATGAAGATCGCAAATACAACAAAACTTACACAAGGAATTCAACGGCCAGTTGAGAGCCAACTATAGCAATATTTCATGTTCATTTAAGTATTTCTATAAAAGCACATAAGTAGAAACTAAAAGAAGGACGAGCGCCAAACAAAAGAACCTGAATTTTTATTCATAATTTTTTGTACACTTTAACAATTATAAATTATGAATAAAATAAATTGATTATCTATTCTCCCAATGGCTCGGAGAGAATGATACCTATCGACAGGCTTTGGATGTCATGATTGCTAGAGCAAAGAACTGGAGTACATCAAAGCTCCCCGTTCCTCTCGATCCAAATTGATGGAAAAAGGAACCAGAGGAAAAATATTTCTCCTTCAAAAGGAACAATGGAGTCACCTTCCTCGTCATTAAGGAGAT